TCTGAATGTAACAGTCTTGAAGAGAGGAAGTATAGGCATCTCGGACTGCACAATGTGGATTGCAGGTCAAGTCAGTGCCTACTAAAACCTCACTCCTCACAAGAAAGCTCTCGGACTGTCTTCATATTATCTTCGTTGCCCCAAAGTAACATGTAAACCCAATTCAAAAGGTCTTCAAACATCCCAAATGCCATCATATCACACAAGTCTTTACCGAAAAAATCATATCACACAAGTATTCAGAGCTCATAACTGAACAAAGAGCAAAAGAGGACGTAATACATTGGAAAATACTACTCGATCGATCTTTAGTAGCCATAATCACACTTAACATTTGTGAATCTTAAGGAACCAAGCCCGTTATTCTGACAGTTCTGGTGCTCAACACATTTATATTTATCAAGGAGCACATTGTTACTCACTGCTAGGAGGGAATCGAACTAGGAATATTGATCAGAGGAACTACGAGAGAGCTGAAGATAACTGCCCTCTAGCTCTCACTGATCTGGGCGCATAGTGAGATGCAGCCCACGTGAGTTCAGCAACGGTCTAGCGCTGGGCTTTTAGGCCCGCATGATCGGGCTTTGTCGGGTGGTCGACGTGTTCACGATTGGGGAGAGCAACGCAGCAGTTCCTCTTAGTTTAGTCCCACCTCGCCTGTCCAGCAGAGTTCTGACCGGTTTATAAACTCGCTTGCTGCATCAGACTTGCCCCTTCGGGGACATCCGATAAAATTGGAACGATACAGAGAAGATTAGCATGGCCCCTGCGCAAGGATGACACGCACAAATCGAGAAATGGTCCAAATTTTTTTGAGATTTTCCGCGCCGGTCCCTGCCTGCTACTTTCTCTATTACAGCCGTGCCCCTGGAGCCTTCTCTCAATATCCCAGCATGGCCCCTGGAATCCTCTCTTCCTAACAGATACACCCTTGTACTTTCAGTTGCGGCCTTCTCATCTTACACCATTGAAGTCCTACATGGAGCCACGCTTACAATGTTGGTCCTTTCTTTTCTCTGTGCCACTTGTTGGCTGCCCTCTTCGGAAGGTTTTCAGTAGTTATATCCCAAACTATCAATCTCGACTGAGGTACAGCAAATCCCTGCATCCTATAAATCTCTCTCCCAAAGACAAAAGGAATTATAGTAATTTTTTTGCCGCAAACTATAGTGTAACGTATTGACATTTCCTATCACATGCAAACACAATGTGGACGCAGAAATGGAGTATAACGGACAAGATCTTTAGCTGCAGTGCAGGAAATCTATCCTAAACTAAACTGCCAGTCAGTATGATATCCGGAATCAGATAGGAGTAACAAACTTCATGTTCAGAAAATCCCAACAAAGTGATCATGTTTTTTCTCTTTCCTTTTTGATGTGATCATGGCATTGTTGTTGGAACCTGCAAATGTAAACCTTCCTAAGCCAAAAAAAAAAGAACAGAAAAGGAGCCAGCATAACACATATATAGATATGGAAAAGGAGCAGCACAACATATGCCTATCAGCATGAACACATGTCTGGCAGAAGAACAGGCACGTTGCAGCAGTGTGCCATCTGCATGCCCCCACTGCAGATATTTTGGTCCGTATAAAATTGTGTCTGCTTTAAACATGAAACGTCTTTCAGGCTCTCGGAGGCATGACAAAAAAATTATCATTCCTTCAGTATACAATTGCCAGGTACAGAAAACATTCCTTCCATACACTACTAAGGAAAAGTAAAAATAAACTTGCAAGTGAAACATGAGATTCAGCCATTCAGGAAAACACGCTGGTAAAATAAATCTGCAAATGTATCACAATTTAAAGTACATTCAGAAAAAACACCGCCATTACTATCGTGAATTCCATTTATCCATTTGTCCTGGGCATAAAGCCCTGGGCCTCCACGGCACAAAGGATAAAATCCGCATCAACAGACGCTGAATGTAGCAAAGAATAAGTCTGAATGTAACAGTCTTGAAGAGAGGAAGTATAGCATCAGGATTGCAGGTCAAGTCAGTGCCTATTAAAACCTGCACCATTACCAGGAAGCTCTCGGACTGCCTTCATATCATCTTCGTTGCCCCAAAGTGAAATATAAACCCAATTCAACAAGTCTTCAGACAGCCCAAATGCCATCATATTACACAAGTATTCAGAGCTCATAACCGAAAAAAGAGCAAAAGAGGACGTAATACTACATTGGAAAAAGACTATACAGCCAAACACAGATTGCCTGGCTATACTCGATCGATCTTTAGTAGCCATAATCATGCCTAACATGTGTACAATTTTCTCAGTTCTACTAGTATTCTACTCCTACCAAACAAACCCAACCCGAGGTCAAAAAAAGAAAATCAAAGGGGTCCATACAGTGAAATTCGGGAGGTTAGCGGGGAGAACACGGGACGGGACCAGGTGCCGTTCGGGACCGTTCGAGGAATGATTGGTTGGGGGGTGATCACGGGTTCTTGGGAAGGTAGAGAAAATCATGGGGGAGAGGAGAGGAGCTCCTGTTGTGATCCGAGACCCTTCCTTTGATTTGGGTCTGGGCACGAGCATGAGCTGGTGCATTTATTCCCTTGTTTTGATCTTCTGGTGGGCGTCGATTTCCACATGGGCTCCCTGCACCTGCTCTGCTTGCTAGCTCCTTCCCAGATTCTTTCTGGGTTGAAGACGGTTCTCCTAACTTGGGGCACCGATGCACACGCTGGTAAAATTTCCAGCTGAAAATAGCACCTGAAAGAGAGATTGCCCGTCTAGCCCCTGGCGCGGCAGACTGACTGACAGTTTCCCTGAAGAAGACAGGTGCGAAGGTAAAGGAGCAACGTGTTTACTTAGCCCTCTCCGTCAGGTAACAACTGACTCTAGAATGAAATCAAAGGATAACCGGCCTTGCATGATGCATGGTATGTACGTGGGTCGATTCAGAGTCATTCCTCGCGTAAAATGTTGACATGATCCGCCGCACCGTGTAAAATGTTGTTGCTGATATCCAGGGCAACTTGCCGACCGAGGCCCGGGGACCAGGTCCCCGGTCCCTGGCTGGATGACCAATCAATGAAGTTGGCCAAGATCGGAGTCGGAGGACGGGTCGCTTGATAAACCTGAACCACATGCGATGAAAATGAGATGCATTGCTTCCGCCAACGACACGCGCGTATTTTTATGGTGTGTTGTGATCTGCTTCTCAGCTGATATTCTGAAGGCGAATGACGGGCTGCACCTGCTCTGCTTGTTCAGCTCCTCCCCGTAGGTAGATTCTCACCAAGTTGTTTCATCAAAAACAAATTTCTACCCTAACCTGTGCCTCTGGTATAACATTACTGCACACACTGGTGATAATTGCCAGCTGAAAACCCCAAGGATCAACTTGACATTGCCGGCTGCACACGCTGACCTGAACCTTAAAGCAAGCAGTAGGTTCATCTGAGATTTATTCATTAGAGGTCAAAATGTTGGGGCTAGATTGCTGCCAGCAGCTAGAGAATACTCTGGGACAACTGAACACAACACAAGCTAACTCTGGGAACAAACTCAACACGATGATGTTCATGTTCGGCGTGTGGCAAAGTACACGAGTAGGACGGGGAGGAAGAAAAAACAGCACTATGCTCTGTCTCTCTACCGATTTGGGCCATGTAATGAGATGCAGCCCACGTGAGGTCTACTGCGAGGCTGCTTGCTGCTGGGCTTTTAGGGCCCAGGATGGCTTACGCGCTCGCGGGAGCGGCCGGGGGAGCAGAACACAGCAGTCTAGGATTGTTTAGTCCCACCTCGCCTACGCGAGGCCGTTTCGACCGATTTATAAGCTCGGTCGCTGCATCAGACACGTCCCTTCGGGGACATCCGATAAAATTGGAACGATACAGAGAAGATTAGCATGGCCCCTGCGCAAGGATGACACGCACAAATCGAGAAATGGTCCAAATTTTTTTGACATTTTCCGCGCCGGTCCCTGCCTCCTACTTTTTCTCTTGCAGGTATGCCCCTGGAGCCTTCTGTCGGTGGCCTCGTCTTCTCTTACAGCAAGGCCCTTCTGTTCCCCTGTAGTTGTTTCAGCTACACCATATCCACTATACAATATTGCAGCTGAGCCCAAGAAATCCTCTGTTTCATGACAAATAGATCCTCTAGTTTTACTTTACCAGGGAGCCCCTTTTCATCTCTACAACCAACTCTAAAATGGATAATCACTTACAGTTTGGCCCTATTTTTTTCAAGACACGTGCAGATCGGCTGTCCTCTACATTTCCTAGCACAGTGTGTCTTCACCACCTTATGTTTTGGGTAATTAGGACCCTAACTAAATCTCAATCTCAACAGAAGTAAAGAAATCTATTCATCCTGTAAATTCCTCTCCCAATGGCATAAACAATGTTTACACAGAGAGGGTGATACCTATTATTTTTACTGAATTAGATGTATGCAATACAATGAAGAACAAAAAAACCATATCCTAATTAAGCAAGTCACAGATTATCACAGCCAGTGTAATGTATTTGACATTTTTAATTACATACAGAAACAATGTGGACACAGAAATGTTACAGGTAACAGCAGTGCAAGAAATATTCGACCGAGTCTTCAAACAGGCCAAAAGACATAATGGATGCAATGGACCAACAACATGGATACATAAATGTAACAGCAACAATATATTTAGGCTTTAACAGCAGTGCAAGAAGATCATCCTAAATAACACATAAACCCGATTCAACATGTCTTCAAACAGCCCAAAAGCAATCATATTACACAAGTATTGAGAGCTCATAACCGAAAAAACAGGAGCAAAGGAGGACAAAACACATTGAAAAAGGACTATACAGCCAAACACAGATTAACCAGCAGCCATACTCCCATCTTTACTAGCCTTAATCACACCTAACATTTGTACATTTTTTCTCAGTTCTAATACTCTACCAATCAAACCCAACCCGAGGTCAAAAGATTCGACAGGCCAACATTCCCTCTTCAACAGCAGCTATTCCACACCACGGCAATCATCAGCTTGCTATACTGGTATGACATCCATGTCTGAAGTATCTTCGCATCTCACGACCAGTCCTTCAAGGTTCGCTGGGAAGAAACAACTCCCCCACTGGCAACCAGATGAGATGGGCTCTGATGGAGGTACTATCATCAACACGCTCTCATTCTTTTGAACGACCCCCATCACGCTCACAGTGCTGCCTTCCTTGATGTATCTGCAGGTACAAGATGGAATTGAACATAATTATTCACTTACATCTTTTTGGCACACATCTTCCGAAATAGAGGTAAACATCTCTAGTTATGCAGCAATGCTAGCCTTCTAGGTGGAAAGCAACATGAAGAAAATAATACCCTTCTTTTAGGCGCATTTTCCGACCATCACTTGAGAGGTTCCTTTCTCGTAGCCATCTAAGAAATTCAGGAGACATGTCCTTGTTCTCAGGATTGACGTCAATTACTACCGATTCATCAACATATGGTGTCACCCGTGCCCCACTTCCTGTTCTCACCAATGCTCGAAGCCCAGACTGGAAATCTGAAATGTAGAAATCAACCGCATGTCGCTGCAATAGTTACAGGCGAAATGTCAAGGTCAGTTCGGAAGAAAGTAATATAGCTGCATTAGTAAAGTTTTTCAACACATCTTTATACTGGAGAATAATTCATTGTATCAATTTATTTTAAGCATCATTTTTCTACACACTAATGAATAAACAAAACTCACCTCTGCTGTCCGTAATCCCCAGGTAAACCGGCGATGCTTGGGGTTTGCAGTTTTTGAATCCCAGCCCCTATACTCATACAGCCTAGTTGAAGTGTACACACATCTCGGAATCCTTTGAAATGAGGACTCCAGGGGGAAATTTCCACACGTAACAACCTGTGATGTTTGGCATACTGATCATTACTGGTAACTGATAACGGAACAAGTTTTCTTGGAACAAAAAAGAATTTGTTGTCAACTTGTAGATTAATGTACGCAGTCTCCAAAAACTGACAAGGAGTTTATGCTACATGTGGAACTAAGTGACTAAAAGTATTCAATTATATCTACCATGCAAATTATACCATGAATAGTAAAAGAAATACAGAAATTTGGTGATGTGTTGGTAATTATGTGCAGACTAGGACTCTTATAGTACTCAACTATGTTAAGGTTAGTGTCATTAGGGCGCATTGCAACAGATGAGCGTATGCTCAGTAGAACAGGATGAACACTGGCGCTAAACAGCAATTTATCAGAGTGAAGATAAGGGCAATAAATCCAACAGGATCAGAAGCATTTCACATACCCCTGTAACCTTCACATACTCTCCATCCTTTGCAGTTCTGAGATCAGTATCAGGACAGCTATTGACAAACCTGAGCACGCCTCTCCTGCCCCGCCAAACATTCCAAGACACAAGTGCAGCAACAGAACCAATCATTGCAACAACAACTATCAGCACAATCGCATTGTGAACAGCAATAAGAATGAAGAGACCTACTGCAAACCCGAACAGCAAGAGTGTGATCACTAGCCAGAATACCCACTTTGAAATGCTTCCCATAACTGAGAAACCACCTTCACTGGTGAGTGTAGTAACAGCCTGGTTGTGAGCAAGCGATGTGGCCCGCGCCTTCATCGATGCAGCAGGATCAAGAGATCCAGATACTTTCCTTCTTGGGGCACCAGACGAATTCAGTGGTCCAGAAGTAACAGGGCCAGATGTGATAAGCCCAGTCGTAGGAAGCATTGGAGGGAGAGGGCCGGAATTCTGGCGAGCCATTGGGGTCACACCTCCAGACTGGGGACCAGATGACCGCTTTACTGGTTCTCCATGCTTATTGAGTGGTCCGGAGTTAGATTTTGCTCTTGCTGATCCTCCGGCGCCAGGAACTGAAGATGAAAGAGAACCAGAGTAGTTTGACCGACCGCCAGCATTAGACACAGGTCCAGAGTTGGAGGCAGCACCACCAAATGAAGGATTTCTCGAAGGCGCACTGCCTAGAGGACCAGATTTTCTGGATCTTTCAGCATGGAGCTCAAACATCTTCCCAAGCTCTCCAGATTTCTTGGTGTCACCACCAGTATATGGCATCACATTGGATCCAAAGGTCGGGGCCTTCTCCTTAGGTTGCTCAGGTCGGCCAGAAACATAAAGGCCACTGCTCAGCTGATGTGATGGAAATCTAGAACCCATGTTTTTGAACCACCAAAATCAAGTATATATTATTATTCAGCCAGCTGAAGTGTAATCAAGCGAAGCTAATTTGAGTCTTGATGTGCACAGCTGTCCTTCTCACATAGTACAACCTACACCTTGAATCAGCTCCTGAAAAAGGACATAATAATATATAAATAGCCTATGCATGTGTAGTACATTTTGCGAATATGTGACCAAGAGATAATCACTTTAGAACAAATAGCATGCAGATAAAGAAAAAAATTGATGTTAAGTAAGAACCACAAGTCCACAATAATACTGATCATCCAAGGGATTTTAAATGAATGGCTTTTACATCAGAGTGGGTTGACTATAGTAAAGCATGAGCTAATTAGAAAATTGATGCATGGGACAAAACAACAAAAACATACTAGAATAAGAACCAACTCTTCAGAGAAAATTTAACGCGTCATACATTTGTGTTTCCACTTTGAAGTTTATTCAGACGACTTAACAAGCAAACCACCTTATGCTAAGCATATTTATTAATTTGTCAGACTTTTTTTTGTCTGACACTGGAGTAAAAACTTGCAAGTCATGAAAAGACAATGCAATCAAGCAGTTCCTTCATGTACAGCTCAAAGGGAGAGGGCACCAGTGACAGGAGCAATGGCATGGTGCGGCAGGCTATGAGGGTTAGGTGAGGGATGAGTGGCGCGCAATGGAGCAGTGAGGGGCAGGCACTAAGGGTCCAAAGCAAGGTGAAGAATACTGCGGAATTGATTGGGGGAGAAAGAATGGGTTGGGTTAATTTTAGGAGAGCGGAAATTTCACTTTTCAGACGCACGCCAATTATTGGCCAGCTTGCTTTTCAGCTATCACACACATGCATATAATTTAGCTGGCATTTATGTATGTCTTGCAATGATAGATGCCAGTGATGCTACAGATTTTACCTGGCACTTGCCAAAAATGCGTTTGTTTCATTACTGTGCGGGCACATTATATGTGTACGCTGGCACATACGAAATGCCTTGAGGTTTTCAGATATTTATAAGTGCAGTATATAAGTGTATGATGGCAGATTTCATGCTTTCCTATTAGGTGCCCTAATAATAGGCTAGTATGAGTGTCTGTTATAACGATGACTCAAATATTTTTCTATCATAATTATTGGCAACACCATTCTAGGACACAAGTTACTGAAAAAAAAACGTTCACTATAGCAGAGGTAGCTAATCAAAACAAACATGAAGCGAAGGACTCAGCCGTAGTAGATCTATTTCAAGATTCGGATATAACCCTATTACTTACAAGTTTCAGACATAAAACCTGATATGACAAGTCAAGTTGGAATAAGATAATATAGCGTTCCCCCCAAATTAAGGTATAGACAAACTCTGGAAACATGCAGGATTCATGGAGACATCTCCCCTGAAATAACTAAGCACGCCCAAATGTATGCAGAAACGTGTGTCCCACCCACTAACACAGTTGAAATATGACTACCAGTGTGCAGTGAAGTTGGCAAAGACAACATCAGATCTCAGATATAGCTTGAAGCTTGAGCAAAGGACTCCCAGTGATACTTAGCAACATAGTTATATGCAGCAACCAGAACGGTAAATAAAATAACTTTTGACACCATTCTACTCTTGCAGTGAGTAATCGATTTGCATGACATCTAGATCCTAACCAGCCAGGCCTTAAGCATACGAACAAAGTAACGCTGGAAAATAAATCGGAGCCTGGCAGCAAAGCTCACGGGGGGCAATGCCCGTTTCAGATCGATGAACTAGCCGCCCGCATAAAGAGAAAAAGACGGATGAACTAGTGCCAGATCTAGGCATCTTTCTGAAAAACCAAGAAGCCAAATACTACCCCTTTTTTAGTTTAAGAAATTACGACTAGAAATAGCAGCCAAGAAGTGGTAGGTGAGAAATGATTCCTCGACCACAAGACAAATATATTCCCAGTAATTCCCCAAAAACTCAGAATAAAAGAAGTCCGTAAATACATATAGTACCGACTAAAAAGCCCAATCCCTGCCCGCATCTCACAGGTCGAAGCCCCGGGAAAGACGAATCTGCGGAAATCCCACCGGAATCTGGCTCCACCGACACAAGGAACAGCGCGGCACCGCATTAGCGACGCTGGCGGTCCCCAAGAACCGCGGCAAGGAGCACCGCAACCACCACCTTTCGTGGCAAAAAGGACGTTCGTTTCCCGCAACCACCCCCTCCCCCCTCCTCCTCCCGGAACGACGGAGCAGATTCGTCTAAGCAAGGGAAACCTCGGAACTCGCCCGGAACAAGAAGCGCGGGGGAGAGGCGGCAATGGCGCGCGAAGGGGCCAAGGAAATCTCTTCATACCTGGAGGGGACGGCGGACATCTTCTCTTCTTGGGA